TTAACATAGGCTGTGTTTGGTAAGCCAAATAAGCTAGCTTATAGCTTATTTGGTCAACTTATAAGCTCCATGTATTCAAATAAACCTCATTTGGTAGGACAAGTTTTTTTAAAAAGTTCGAGCTTATCTCATAAGTTACTTTAGGTATCTTTTCAAATAAGATAGTTGAATTTTTTATTTCAGCTAGCTTATCAGCTAATTTTATCAAACACTTTTATCATATAAGCTAGCTGTAACGCAAAATTTCGTATTATTTAATTAATAAACACGAGAACTTTGTACAAATGGATTTTAACGGATCAAATGAAATATAGTGGATTCTAAATCTCTATTATTCCTCTGATTAATTTCTTCAAGAACGATCTTCAAGTGGATTTGAGACTTTTGGAGACGAATCTTCAGTTTGATATCCGCCGGTCTTGAATTTGGATTTAAATAACGTTTCTTCGAAGGCTTGACAACTTGATCTCGAATCGAACACCGTGATTTCCCAAGAGCGTGAAGAACACGAGTTCTTGGTCTTCGCCGCAAAGTTGATTTTGATCTTCTCTACGCCGGTCTTGATTTTAATAACGCAATTCGGAGGCTTGACAGCTTGTTTCCGGATTGAATGTCTGTATGGGGCTTGAATGCGCTTGAATCTTCCTTCGGATCTTCAAGAACGCATTTGGATCTTCAAGAACACTTGAATCTCGTTGAGAGAATTCTCTAGAGCTCTTGAACTTGGAACTTGAATTATGAATATGAATTGTGATTTTCACCTTCGGAAGGATCCTTATTTATAGGTGTTAGGAGAGAAAGTCTTGGAAAAGAAGACTTTAATTTGATTCGTTCATAATTTCTAATATTTATTTATTAAAGAGATAATTAGAAGATGAACTCTTGGAAAAGAAGACTTTAATTTGATTGATCCAATATATAACATGTTCATCTTACTATGTAACATGTTCACCTTATTCTATAACATGTTCATCTTACTATATGACATGTTCATCTTACTAAGTAACATGTTCATCTCATTTTATAACATATTCATCTTATTTTATAACATGTTCATCTTATTGTGTAAATATGTAACATGTTCATCTTATTCTATAACATGTTCATATTACTATGTAGCATGTTCATCTTACTATGTAAGATGTTCATCTTATTCTATAACATCTTACTATGTAACATGTTCATCTTATTCTATAACATGTTCATCTTACTAAGTAACATGTTCATTTTATTATGGATCTGCGTCTTCATCTTCCAACAAAATAAATTAACTATGAAAAGTGATAAATTAATTGTATTCTAAAACTTATCAAATGTGGTCTCTATTTGTAGAGAATGAAAAATTATGAATTTTAATATTTTTATTTTTATTTTTTAATATAAAATATGAATGATAATTTAATTTATATAATATAATATGTAAAATTCATTATGCAATAGAAATGGGACACATGTCCCATTTAAAAGAAAAAAAATTACCTCACGCGTTTTTTGAGGGATTGTATTTCACAAAGGCTTTGGCACACCTAGCAAGGTGTGCAAATGCGCACCTAATTATTTGCAGTACCACCACACATGGTGAGCTGTCAACCATTCCCTTCGAAGGAAATTTGTATCCCCAACAATTTTTCAAAAACTTTAAATGAGAACATGACGTCAACAAAATATAACTTCCATCATTGCAGTAAAAATCCAACTATAACCTATAGTAACAGAAGATTGGAAAGAACAATCATGCATTATAGACCAGGGAATGGGTGTTCATAGAACCCATAAGAAAATGGACGAAAATCTTTGTCACTCTTCCACAAAAGGACCAACCATTTAATCGAACTGCTTTTAAAACCTCCGAACTTCATATTTGATTTATTTATCTGCAAGGACATAAAGAAGAAGAAGAAGAAGAAGAAGAAGAAGAAGAAGAAGAAGAAGAAGATAATCATGCAAATATTAAGTCTTGCATCATAAAAGTCAATATGTCACTACTATCAAGTAATGCATCATAATTGAGTACTGTGTGTCAGGCTTACCTGCTCATACATGCTCTGAAGCTCATCATCTTTGAACCTAGTAGCCAACGCTGATTTCAGGCCCTACATATTTTCATTGTATGTAAAGGTAAAGGTAGATACTAATATCACACGTCCAAGCCAAAAAGTTCCTATACGTAAAGACAGCAGGGAAAAATGATTCTTGGGATTCTCACCTCAATAGAGTAAGGAACATCAATGTTGACAATTCTAGTCACCCGATAAACTTTCCTGGCAGCTTCATTTTTATTAATCTCTTCATGCAACTCGGTGCAAAACCATTGACTACTCCAGTACCCCATTGCGATGCCCAAGATATCCCTTTACGAGAAAGAAAAATAAGTATACAAATAAAAACACCTGCATGACACGCAAAATGCACTTGTCTATCCAGTTACACGAGTTTCCTGTATTCTTTTGCTCTTATGCCTCTCTTAAGTTGCGCAGTTAAAATCCCGGTTCATTTTTAAAATATAAAAACGAAGGCTTGTTGCTATTGAGCAGTACAACATGACTTCATGTTTGTGTCCGCTATCCGTTAACTATCTAAATCTATTCAAACTTTTTTAAATCTAAACAAAATTAAGTGGATTACAAAAGCAAAGAACATAGCACATGTACAATAATTTCGACATGAGGGATTCAAAACCGGAAATAGTGGGATGTGGTACATAATTTCAGTGACGTATTGATACGCTAGTTAAAAATCCCTTCCCACAGGCCTCACAGCGCCTCTACTGGATTTTTTCAAGGGAATACCCAAACAAAATACAAACCTAGTTCAATCAAGGAAGAGAGTTACTGCTCCACTTAAATATAAACTCACAAACTCACAGGTGCAATTAATAATGCTTTGATGTTTCAAATAAGTAGGGAGAATTGGAGGAGTGTCATAAGTTGGGTTCCTCGTGCGACAATAGACACTTGCCCCAAGCACAAACGATAACAACAATTTGAAGCATGTAAATAGTACCATAGTACTGTAGTATAGTAATCGATCAATATATCAACTATACAGTGCAAGGTATCAATCATCACCTCATATCATATCTGTCTAGTGTCTTCTGTAAAATGAGCTGCAATGCGTTGTCTCTCCTTAGAAATTCCACCCGAACTTGGTTAGTTACATCTAGTGAGTAAGCATCTACTAAAGAGATCAGGGAAGGAGCCTACAAAATATAAGAATGATATATTCATTCAAAGTGATAGGCTGCCCCGTGGAAAAAGAATAATAATATTTAATGGCAAGGAATACCTTCACATGTGCCTCAACAAATGCTTGTTGAAATGTTTTATCTTTCATCAGGTTCACCACTAGCGTAGCAAAAGTCTCTACATATCTGTCATCTTCAACAGCAAGCTTCAGATGAATGAAAATCTTTTTAGCTGCCTCCTTAATCCCTGGGTTTTTTCTTACTTTGCTAGACAGAAACCCAAGTCGCTGCGGAAAAGAAAAAAGAAAACAAATTAAATTAAATGAGTAAAGCAACACCCTAGTTGTTTTGGTCTGCCCTCATCAAACAAAATAATATGGCAAAGATTACCTTTGTCAGAGAATCGATGACGGAGGAACTTGGGCTTGCATCATTCTCTACCTGCAAATAGGTCATCAATCCAATCAGAAAGTGAAATAACTACTCAACAATAAACAATCAAGAAAACATAAACCACTCAACTGCTAATTCATGATATTTTATGTGAAACAAATATACTAACGATGTCCTAGTATACTATTACTCACTATCATCAATTAAAGGCCACGATTGATAAGTATCCAAATCAGCCACCTTAAGCAGTTAATGAAATGAACCACTTGAGAGAGAAAATCAAACAGTAAGATAGATAATAAACAAAGCTAGTCCTACCACTCTCGATTTTTTCATCTCTGCAGCACCTAATGCCTCGGAGCTCGCTCCCCTCTTAACTCCAGGGCAAGCCGAAGAATCACAACACATTGTAGGAGTTAAATCCAACTGACGAAAGACACAGAGCAGAAAATATATACAAAATCAAAAGCATTCGGAGAAGAGAGTAACATAATGTAAAGGAATTAGCTGAGGAACGTACCACAGACATCTTTCACTACGGTTGAAGACGCAAAAGCAACAAGGCGATACCAACATGAAGCAAAATCGATCAAACTCAGGTGAAAAATATTCAAACGGATAAAAATAAATATATAACTTCATTACCGAAACAGGAGAACACAGAAAGCATACCTTGAATAGGGCCGGCAAAATTTCCAGCGACAAAGGCAAAACGTTTGATGGAGAAGAAGGTGGAATCCCAATAGTGGTAGACGAGACCAATAAGCGTTGCCCTAATCCCGCGGTTCACCTCTGAATATTGCTCATAATACCGCCCCCCAAATTACTAGTCACCGCCCCCCTTGGACAATTTTGCCCCTCTCATTTTTCGTAAACATCTCAGAGAAGTGTACGTTGAAATGTCGTCAAATTCCGAGGTACGAAAAAATTCGTGTCCGGACGTCGGTCCCGGACAGTTTAAAGCCCGTCCGGAACCGGCGGCCGGACGGCTTAAAGCCCGTCCGGAACCGGTGGCCGGACGGAGCAAATACCGTCCGGAAAGCACGGCCGGACGGACCGTGCCTGACCGGAACCGGCGGCCGGTCGGAACCGGTCCGTCCGGTCCGGCCGGCCGGACGGAATATTTTTTTTTTTTTTTT